GCACTTTGTACCAAAAAAAACCTCTCCAAATGACAGTCACCAGGTGGCTTCTGAATGTAAACAAACAGGCTGGGGATACTGGGGGATGTCATTGACCAAATGGTCATGATCATATTTGGTGAAGAATGTGGTCTGGGATCCCTGGCCTGTTTTTTTTTACAAACAGAATCAAATGTAGGGCTACCACCATGCCAAAACTAGTGCTACTGATAAAAAATGACAGATTGCCATCATCTCTGATTTACAAACAGAAGCCAGCAGGGATCTGTCATTTTGCAGCGGTAGTGATACCATCACACTACCGACGTGCTAACTCTACTTCCGCAAAATGAAAAATCCTAGTCGGCTTCTGTAATGATAGAGAGGCTCCCCTTCAGGAGCCACTTTTATTCAAGCTAATGATCGCCCTGGCAGGCATGACAGTCTGTGACGTGGGCAAATGATTGTGAGAGTGGAAGAACACGGCATGCTATAGACCATACACAAGAGCAAGCGCATCAGGATGACAACCCTATAATAGCAAGAGCAGCCTGTGCATAGTGTTGACACCCTTAAAATTAAAGAAGTTGTGCAACACAAAGAGCAGACCTACATTTCACTTTTTCAGAGGGAGCCCTTGGTGAAGTTTAATTATATGAGTTTAAAGACACTTTATGGGTAGATGACAGTGTAACTCTTCGCCAGCTACACTATATCTCTGTAACATGATTTCTCAGAGATTCACAAGATCGTTCAGTTTAGCCCACCTTTCAGGACTGAAATTAGGGATACTTACCAGGCTGGCTTTCTATCACTGAAGCCTGTAGATTCACAATCTTTTCATTGTTACTGTTGAGTTTTTAAAAATCTATTTTACATTATGGAGAATGAAAGAGAAAGATTAATCGTGCTATACGCTACATGGGAGCCAGTGCCTCTGGAAGGTAAATTTAAAGATGGGGTCTCTGGACACAAGTCCCTTGATATCCACCCATCACTGAACATTTTTCATAGATAAATGTTATATTTTACAGATTTATATGGAGTCATATTATACCACTTTTGTCCACAGAAACTAATTGTGGCTGTACTAAATGTTCTTGTTTCATTATTCTGCCTTTTTTACCATGTCAAACCTATCATTACCCTTTTCTAACATGTCATTTTGATAAGACAACAACTTGTAACTATGTGATTCCATAGTGATATCATGTGAGCTTTGCTCTAAACCTGGCAATTGCCTCTTGAGAGGAGTAATCATATCAGCAGTGGCACCACAGTCCCGTAAAAAAGAGACACTCTGCGATTGCCTCGGCTGAAGGGAATCAGACATCGTAACTCAGCGTACTATGCTTGAGCTTTGGATGCTTATAAATACTTCTTCTCAACATCCCTTGAAGCTAGAATGCTCCACTGAAAATAGTTCTGATCAAAGCCATGTAAGCATGTCATTTTCCAGTCTGTTTTATTCATGCTGTGCTGAGGAATAGATCTCGAGAAAATGCTTGCTCCATCTGCCTTGGCTGCTTCAAGGTGTTCACTTCTTTTATGTTGGATAGCAATTCTCACAAGCTGATGCTTTGTGATATAAACATTTGCTTATTAAAAGTTCTAACACCTTTTATGTACCGTGTTGTGCTATGTTAAACAATGTCTTGGAATTAGGTCATTCCTGCTGAGTGAGGTTGAACTTTATCTTGTCAAGCTTCCTTTTCTGAAAAGATATTAGGAATTGTAGCACAAGTGATCAGAACAACATTCCTGGGTGTTACATTCTTCTCGTATAACAAACTTGTGTTGTTAATCATCAGTAAATACATATTTAACATGTATACATGGAATTAGTGATTATTTTATATTTATATATTCATTAGAAAAGTCTTTGACCTTTATCTTGTCCACACATCTGTTTTACTGTGCTGCCCCATATAGTGGACTGCACAGCAGGTGCAGAGCCTGCAAATTTCTTTATATACAGGCCTTTCTGTCAAGACTCGTTATTTGCAATTTTAAGCAGTTTGTCCCTAGAAAAAAAAAAGACAGTGATTATTTGGTGGGGAATATACAGAAGTATGCAACCTCTCTGCAGGGGGGGACAGACAATCATGGTTGTTGGTAGACATGTGCGATTCGTTTCGTTACGAATCGAAATTCGTACGAATTTTCCTGAAATTCGTAAATTCAGAAGCATCTGAAATCCAAATTGCAGTTTCCGAATTATATCCGAAATACGAAATTCCGTTAACGAATTTCGGATCCGAATTTCTTTGAAACAGGAACTAATATTACCCCTGTAAATGGGGTTGAACAACATGACAAGATTTTTTTTTTTTAATACGAAATACGGATCCGCTGCTGCTGAGGGTTGCATTACAATACACAGGCAGGAATTTCGTTCCGTTACGAACATTCGTTATATTGAAGTTAAAAAGCAAAATACCTTTGTTAATATATTGGAGTTGATGGTAGTTTTTATCCGAAATACGAAATTCGGATCCGGAATCCGTTAACGGAATTCGTATTTCGGATTAAAAAACAACTACCACATCAACTCCGATATTAACAAAGGTATTTTTGCTTTTTAACTTCATCATAACAAATGTTCGTACAGTTACAAAAATGTGCCGAAACTAACGAAAATTCGTATTTCGTACGAATCCGAATTGAGTTTTTCGGACACGAATTACGAAATAACGTATATTCCGAAACGGAACGAAACGAAATGGAACACATTTTTTGACGGCGCACAAGTCTAGTTGTTGGGAACTCCAGGACACTCAGGGGCAAAGTATAAGTCCATAGAATTTATCAGCAGGCACCTTTAGATACCTGATTGCATACCATACAATTAGAATGAAAAGCTTAAGGAGCCATGGCGAAAGGGGCTCTGACTGATGGAAGCAAAACATAAGATGTTTACTAGCTCAGACTGCTGCATTACGTCAATTAGGTTAGGTGCAATTGGCTGTCATGGCTAGAGGGGAGGGATGGGGTTGGTTCTACCTAAGAATGAGCAGGGGTGGCCACACTGACCTGACGTTCCTTCAGTTAATGGACAAGTTCCCACCCTTTCTCCTTGTTCTTTCTGTTTATTGATGGTTTTACTTTGCCAGTATTTAAAACTATTTTTGAACTGTTCCCTTGTGGGCTGTACACTTTGGGTAGTCAAAAACCTGTTTGGAATGTATGGTGAGGACATGGTGTTAGATTAAATTATGGTGTTAGATACACACAGTTCATCCGTGACTGCCACAAAAGTTCTTTGTTTGCTAGCTGTTATGACCTTTGAATGTATGTCATAATTATTGATAGTGCCATGACCTTGCCCTTTCCAACCTAAACAATTTCATTGTTCTTGTTTGGGCATCACCACACAGATATTTATTCTGCTTCATATGCGCAAACTATTGAGGCAGCTTTGTAAAATAAGACTATATCACATAAAAAGAGGTAAGCTAAAAAGGAATTTTCATATTTTGATTAAAGTGTATGACTTTTACTGTACATTTTGTTTTCTGTTCCATTGTTTTACCAACAGCCCATGCCTTACTTATTCAGTATATTCTGAATGTGACTATAGTTCCTCTCCTGGCCACACATTGTTTAGTCCTTGTTACTCATATTGTAACAGAAACAGACAATTAAGAACTTAGGTTGGACTAGGTTGATAAATGACGCAACTGGCTCTACTCTCTAGGTAAGAATGTGCTTACCATTGGCAGAGCATCTGCTTTTTGAGTATAAATGTGCTTACTAGTTCCTCTGGCACAGAGCTTTCAATACAAGTTGCATATAAGTATTATGATAATGAATACTCACTAAAGTTTTTCTTACTATTGGAGCACCGCTTTTTGAATAATTGTAACTATATTTAGTTATTAGTAAATTGTCAGTGAATACTGACATCTGCTTTTAAACATTACTAAATTTGGAATATCTAACATGTCTCTTCTTTTTTTTAGGCCTTTACTTAAGACCTCCACACTGACCACATCAAATAGTCAATGACTTTGAAATATCTTTCATCTCAATTATGAAAGGCATATCAAGCAGCCGTAGCCATCATCATGGGGTTGTTTGTGATTCAGTATGTGAAACCTTGCCTCATCACACAGACAGAAAGCCATATTTGATGAATCCAGTAGATCCTCATCCTGCGGATCATCCCTACTATGCTCAAAGGAACTCCTATCCAGTAGAATGCATGATGCCCTATGGGGATCAGATTGCTAGTAGTACTTTTCCAAGGAGACATTACAGTTCTCACCATGAGCTTAAGGATGAGTGTGCGCTAGTTCCCCATGGAACAGTGGGTAAAGGTAACCGCCTTCCTACCAACCTCTTGGACCAATTTGAAAGACAAATACCTGTCAATCGAGATGGCTACCATACTTTGCAATATAAAAGGAGTGCCGTGGAACATCGGGGTGACAGTCCTGGTAGAATACGTCACTTAGTTCACTCTGTTCAGAAACTCTTTACAAAATCCCATTCTCTTGAAGGACCAATGAAGGGAAATACCAATGGAAGCAAAGCCAGCCCCGATGAAATGCAAACCGTAAGATATGGCAAACGGAGTAAAAGCAAAGAAAGAAGAGCTGAGATGAAGCCAAGAACAAACATTTCCGGGTGGTGGGGATCACAGGATAATCTAGACAATGATGTTTGCATGTACCATACACCCTCTACAGTCATGACTATGGGTAGATGCCCGGATCGTTCTGCATCTCAGTATTTTATGGAGGCTTACAATACAATTAGTGAACATGCGTTAAAGTCATCGAGAAGCAATAATGATGTGAAATGCAACACTTGTACAACAAATTTACCTGTGAGTTTACCTGTAAGTTTGGACAGTCAGATGTTGAAGAAAAGCTCTTGGGCATCTACGCTCACAGTAAGCCGGGCCCGAGAGGTATATCAGAAACCTACAATAAACATGGAGCAGGCAATGGTAAAGTCTGAGTTATGCCAACCGGAGAGGACATATCAGTATCTACAGGTATGTTATAAGCATTATTTCCTTTAATTTTGTTTCTTATTATTTAATACCAGTGACATGCGGTACCTCTTGCTCGGGGTGAGGCATTCCCCAGCCCCCCGCCGGCCGAAGCTCCGCCTCCTGTCGGTTGTGGCTCCACCCACGTCAGACAAAGCCCTGCCCCCAATCCCTCCCCAAGCTAGTGTAAAGGAGGAAGTAAGAAGACAGGAGACAGGTCCCTCACTTGCACCTCGCCGCTGAGGCTCCGTGTCAGGTTACACAGCGGGGAGGATTTCCCTGCTGTGTAACCTGTTAGATGCTGATCTGAATGGAGAAAAAGCTGTCAGCTTCAGACATGAAGCTGACAGCTTTTTCCTCCATAATTCTAGGTGAGGCTCCGCCTCCCCTGCCTCCCCTGACCGCACGTCCCTGTTTAATACATACTTTCTTCACTTTCTGGAAGCATGACCTGTTGTGCGCAGATCAGTTATTGTCATTATGATGATGTTATTCTGTCTGTCCCACAGGGTGTCCCTTTCTTATGAGGATAGGAAGTTCTGCACATTGTTCATGTACATGAGGTGTGGTTCTCAGCCTAACTGTAAAGTTTTACAAGCCATCAAGTGTACATCCTTTATGAAATCCTCTAAGGAATTAATTATAATTCTGGCTTGTTCTATCCTCAATGACTGGTAACATAATCTAGTGGAATATGTTTTTCTCTGTATGTAGCTCACTTTAAAGATTTTGTCAACAATATATCTCATGTCTGAACTCAAGACATACGACATATTGAGATATACCTTTAAAAGTATACAAATTGTACTAAAGATCAGTTGAATCTGATTTTACCTGTATATGGGAGAAAAGGCATTGCATTTAATATTGAATATCAGTCACTGAGGCATTGGTCAGACGGCCTGAAAAACTATAGATGCTTCCTATTGTTCTATGCTAATTAAGCAGAGGTACCCCACAGCTTTGCATATTCTTTTATTATGGAGAACTAGTCTGATATCTATTATGCCAGAGAACATCAGATGATCCAAACATTTTCAGGAGCTGCTCTTTTTGAGATAATTATCAGAAGTTTTTTTGAATAGTTATCTTATGTTACCCAGCATACCTGATAAAAATGCAAAAAACCTTTTAAGAGTGTTTGACACTATGCATTATTCAACAGCTTCATATGTTATTACATTTAGGACAATGTTCATCGCAAGCCAAGAATACATCTGCTGTTCTCTCTATTACCAAGTGTTTAACTAAGCTCAGCTCCAAGATTTTGAAAGAAATAAATAGCGTTAAATTACCTTACTGGATTGAGAAGAATGCTTTTGGGACCTGCTGGTGTAAATTATATATGTGAACTGACAGATGTTGCAGATATTGATCATGGAAAACATGTATTCGCTTAGCTCTAAATAATCTATAGGCAAAACTGTGCTTCTTAGTGTCATAGTGACACATCAGTCCATACTCTAATGTCCCCCCCACAGTCACATCAGTCTCTATACAGAGAAGCTTACACTCTAATGTCTCCCCCACAGTCACATCAGTCTCTGTGGGGGGGCGACATTAGAGTGTAAACTCCTCTGTACAGAGACTGATGTGACTGGATCCCTGGATCCACCGCTGCAGCTTTGTATAATTTATTGCTGGATGTCAGTGGTGTAACTAGAACCTTCAGGGCAAGAAACTATGAAGGGCCGCCCTAACCCCCCGCCGCCATGAAACTGTGCGGTTAACAGGAAGGCCCCCCCCGGACCACCCATCACCCATAGACCCCACTGGCTCACCTAACTCCTGCAGAACCTCTTTCTCCAGAGACCTTGGCGGCCAGTGGAGGAGCGCAGAAGAGGGTCCTCACCAGGGGCGTAACTAGAAATGAGAGGCTGAGGAAAGGGGGATTATAAAAAAAATGAAGGATCGCTAAACTGTAAATAAGCGATTTATGTTATAAATGGTTTTTGCGCTGTGTTGGTGTTTGTGTTGTGATAAAATGATACAGGCGTATATTTCATTTCAACACAAGGTATCACAATGCACGGCAATGCGTCACAAAGCTTTGCCATGCTCTGCCACAGTTAAAATGAATGATTTTTTTACGATAGAAAAAAATCATGCACTACGATGCGTTCTAACAACGCACGGCAGCGCATGTGCCTGGCGTACACCACAATATG